TTGGTGCAACATTAGAGCAACATAAGACACAGAGCACGAAGCTGAGAGTGCAGCTCCCAGATAGCTGGAGTCTGGGAACCAACTGTCACCCCTGAGCAGTGACTGTGGCCCTGTTACTTGCCTTCTTCAAGCCTCATTTTCCTCATCTCTAAAATGGGGATAATCTCAGTGCCTCCCCCATCGGGTTGCTGAGGTATTAAGTAAGTTAATACAAACACAATGAAAGCTTATAGTAATCTCCTAGGAGATCCTATTATCAGCCTGGAAAAAAAAAATCTCAACTCCTAAGAACCAGCAATAAGCTCCAACATGTAGGTCTGTAGATATAAATTCCCACAGCATCTTTTCATCAAAAACATCTCTCTTACTGATGATAAACTGTGGTTTAGGACACTTCAAGAACAGCTTCTATCCTGGGAGGACTCGAGAAGTAGCGGAAGCCTGCCTGGCTGCTCAACAGCACAAAAGCTGAGAGCTGGCATAGGCCAGACACCCGCAGGAGAATAGGTTTGACCAACCTCTTGAGAAGCGTGTAAAGTAAGCCCCCTGGAGACCCTGAAGAACAAGGGGCTTCAATATTTCTCTCTGAATAACCCACAAAAATTACCTTGAAACAAAGAGCAAAGGTTTTTAATGCCACTAATGCACACACACCAACCCCAGGAATGATTTCTCAAACTCATCCTCACCTTACAAGTCTTCAATAGAACAGTAAAAAAAAAAAAAAAAAAAAAAAAAAATCAATGAATAAAACCAAATCTCAAGAATTTTAGGGAAGTCTTCGTCAACTACATTTGTGATCCAAGTCAAGCTACAAGTTAATTAAATTAATCCAAATAAATCTGTCTTTCTACCAGACAAGCAGTATGGAAAGAGCATGGGCCTGAACAGTCAGAAGACAGAGTTCTAGCCCCTGCTGTCTGGCTTCCACACGTAACTGCCTCTGTGAACAGAGGAGCTATGCAAACAGGAGTGCATCATTATCCCAATTCCTCAGCCACTGGGTTTAAGCAGCAAATGGCATAAGCCGTGGTGTTCTAGAGCCTCATGCTAAGAGACCTGCAGGATTAGCTCTGCCACACGGTACCAGAAACCAGGGAAAGTAAGGCAAGCAAGGCCTGGAGACCCTGGATACCCATCTTCTATCACCCATCACCTAATGAGCACTCCTGGACCGAAGAACTTAGGAAGTGGTTAAGTTCACCCTCCAGGATCTAGCCACCACCCACCAAAGGCAAGGAGGCCAAAGAGCTTTTGGTAACACAGCCTAAGGCAGAAACTCCCATTAGGTTGTAATAATATCGGCCTGAGCCTCCAGGAGAGCTTTGAAAAATCACCCAACTCCAATTCAACTGGTTACTCCTATATATCTCAGTGTGGGACCAGAACACCAAATGAAGAGCAATTTCACCTAATTAAGCAGTTTTCCCTCCAGTTCTTTCCATTCCCATCATTTATTTTGCCACAGCTACACAAAGATCTTCCCTTGCTTTCACTCAATCCATGAAAAGCTGTTATTGCAGGCTCTAAACTAACTGATACACAGGCAAACCGAACCGAGCCCATGGAGCACAAACAAAACTCTTATGTACCGTAAATCCCATCCAAACTGCCCAATAGCTGTGGGGCCCTGAAGGTCTGGGCAGCCCCGGTGGCTCAGCAGTTTAGCGCTTGCCTTCGGCCCAGGGCATGATCGGAGTCCCGGAATCGAATCCCACATCAGGCTCCCTGCACGGAGCCTGCTTCTCCCTCTGCCTGTGTCTCTGCCTCTCTTTCTGTGTCTCTCATGAATAAATAAATTAAATCTTAAAAAAAAAAAAAAAAAAGACATAAAGAAACACAAGGTCTGCTCCCCAAGACTTACACCTTGAGCCCAGGTGAGTCTTCCGTGTAGAATCGCCACATGCCCCCAGTGCCCGCTGAGGTGGTGCGACCTGCGCTCCTTGTCCCACAGCTGGCATTTTTTCTGTAAGAAAAGAAATATTACAAACAGCTTGCTCTGGGAAGCCCTTACAGCAGCATTATAATATATGCTACTACTATGCTACTGAAGAACCAAAAACAAAACAGCCCACAAAATACAAAAACTTTTCTTTGCTAGCACCCCAAATTCTTGCTTTTATTCCACTGATCATGATAACCACTAAGATGAGTACCTGCGATATGCTATGAATACAACCACCCCAAAGTAGTCACCGATTCCAATGTATAAACGAGGAAAACAGGCTTATAAAGGGTCAAGAGCCTAGGACCACGCAACCAGCCGGGAGCCAGGCTAGGCAGTGAACCCGGTTCTGACTCCAGAGCTCATTCACCTGCCCACACATACGGGTGCCTCATTTGGACAATGCATTTCAGTTTCTCTTCCCATGTATTTTTGTGAAGTCAAGTAATAAGCCCCTGCTTAAAAAGCCCTGAATCCATATAATCTGATCTTAAAATGACTCCTTTAAAATGCTTTTAAGTTACTGTATATGCTACAAAAGAGATAAAAAACAATTTAGTTTTCACTGTGATCCAGGTCCTAAAATGGGAGTATACATTTAAAAAAAATTATTTTGTAATCTGTCTCCACTATTTCGATATACTGGCCATAGATCTTGGGCAGAGAGAAGATGTGAAAAAATGTGGGAAAACACCCAACCAGAACGTGTCCCTCACAAGGGAATGAAGGTCTGGGAGATGAGCTGAGTGACGCAGGCAGCCCTGGCACACAGACGTAGCCAAACAGCACTGTGCCACCGACCACTGCATGGAGTCAGAAACCCGAAGTGAAAACCCTAGTGCCACCAACTTTTCTCACTGTGCTTCCAACTCTGATCCTAATCTCCATCTCACCTTGCCATGGCCTTTACCCCAAACTCTAGTGCAGACACATTGACTACTGGCTACATGGTGGCCTGGAAATTCATAAGTCCATCTGTACAGCTGTTTCTATGAGAAAACCGACTGCAAATAGTAAACACAATAGTACCAGGATTTACAAATCAATTCATACACTTAGAAGAGCCTTCACACACAAGGATATACATTATTTAAGCTGCGGGATAAGTACCTGATAGTTTCCTCCTTGTTCATAAAAAGAACTTGAGCTAAATGGTAAACCCAGTGTGAACAGAAGTCATCAGCTGAGCCAGGTCAAGGACCCATGCGCTTTCCCACAACCTCCCAACTGCAGTGCGTGTTCTCAAAGTCTCCTGGAATTACAGGAGCCCCAAAGAAATCAGTCTAGGCTCTTTAAAGATTTCTTATACCTGCAGTCACGTGGAACAATGCAGAGTATCTAATAATCAGGGCGCCTGGAAATACCAAATGTACTCAAAATACCCCCCATCCCTCCACTGGAGAGCCAGGAAGAAGTTAATAGAGCCCATTTTAATCTCCTCAATTTCTATTAGGGGTCTATTTCACCCTTTCTTTCTGGCCACAGTGTAACTGCCTCACTCTTCCTATAGCCTGTGGTTCCTTCAAAACTCCCAAGACTAGAGAGTGGCTTGATTCCTTCAATCATTCATCATTTATTGTGTCAGGCCACATAGCAGGAGATGATGGGCCATTGCTGTCAATATCTAACGAAGGAGATAAATATGGAAACAGGAGAACAAAATCCTCCAGGAACAAAAGAGAAGCCTCACAGCTCCTGCTGCTTTCCAGGTCTGGCAAGGCCTCAAGAACCCCCCAGCTTAGTCCTGCAGAATAAATAGAAACGGGGTGGGGGGGCGGGATTTGTCTAGGGCTTCAAGGGTAATTAGCTCAGGTTGCTGGATCACCAGAGGAGAGGCAGCCGGGCTGAAAAAACACCTAGAGCATTAGTAGTCACCCTCTCTCTCTCTCTCTCTCTCTCTCTCTTTTTTTAAGTTCAGCAACAAGAAACTGAGAACCTAAGAAGATGTGTTGAGAGAACCAGAGGGCAGGACCGGCTGGAGTAGAAATCACCCGGAGCGAAGACTTAGGAAATGCAAACGTCTAGATGGGAGAACTTGGGGCTAAACCGGAACAATGGACACGAGAAAGGAAACAACTGATGAGAGCCTTCTGGAGCGCCGTTCCATCTTGCAAAAGACTGAACAGAGACAGAACGGAAAAGAAAAAAAGAAAAAAAATCCACGATGACCGTCAAGTTTTGGCGCTGGGAAAGGAGTATGCATGGTAGGAGGAGGGGAGAGAAAACTGGAGCAGAAGCGGAGACGAAAGAGGAGTCCTGCGTCTGACAAGTCTCGCTGGACGGAGTGCGACGGGTCCTCCAGGCCAGAACAGGGAGTGCAGCGCTCAGGTCCAGGCACACGCGGCTCAACGACATCGGCTTTCTCTCCAAGCGGCAAACCTGATCCCATTCCAAGCAGCCAACTCGCCTTTCCTAAGAGCGGTTGGAAGGAAACACCGCCTCCCCGTCGGGACACCGAAGACCTAAGGCCACGTCGCCTGAGGCTCATTTCGCCCCCGTGACTCGTAGTATCCCGGGGTCTCCTCCTCCGGACCAGCGAATTCCTGGGCCCCACCCGCCTCGCCGAGCCCACGGCCAGGGGGGTCGCGGGGATCCTTACCTCTGCCGGACCGTGGACCCGGCCGCCCGGGCGGCCACTGCTTTGCTGGGAGAGCGCCCCGACGAGCCCACGTTCGTGCCACTGGGGGTCGGACCAGGCTAGAGAGAGAGACACGGGGAGACCAGCGGGGTGAGCGCCCCGGCACGCCCCCAGCCCCCCGCCCCCCGCCCCCAAGACCCAGCCCCTGCTCGGGAGACCCGGCAAAGCAAGGAGACCACGAGAGGAGCGCAAGGCGGAAGGGAAGACGCGGGGCGACGCGGGGAGGCGCGGCCAAGGAGGGCCGGCGGGGGCCACCGTACCATGCTGCAGACTGGACGGCGCCGGACGCTGACACCGACGGCGAACAAGCGCTCGCTGAAGCCCTCAAAAGACCGGCGGCCGGAGAAACTGGCTCAGGCCCCGCCCCCAGGCCCCTCGCAGGGTCCTCGCTGGCTCCAGGGACGCCTGGGCTGTCCCACCAGGTGCCTGTACAAATGTTGTTACAGGCGGCTTCGTCAGCCGCCTGTGCGGGAGGCACAGACATTCCGCCTCCTTCCTGTGGGTCGCAGCGTCCTTCATAGAGTCCGATCCCCGCCAAACGGAATATTCAGCCACGCTCAGGGGAGAAATTTCCTCCGGCAGACACACTGGGCGCCCGCAGGCTTGCGCTGACGTGGCCGGACCCACGCAGGCGCCGCGAGGCGTGGTCGGCCCCGCAGAGGGGCCCGCTGGGAGCCCGGAAGGAGCATGCGCGGAAGCCGTCAGGGAGGGGGCGGGGCGCTGGCGCGGAGTCCCGAGCATGGCGGAGAAGCGGCGCCGCGACCCGGAGCCTGGGCCCAGCCCGTCGGTGCTGTTTCTGCACCCGGACCTGGGCGTGGGCGGCGCCGAGCGGCTGGTGCTGGACGCGGCGCTGGCGCTGCAGGCGCGCGGGTGCAGCGTGAAGCTCTGGACGGCGCACTACGACCCCGGCCACTGCTTCGCGGACAGCCGCGGGCTGCAGGTGCGCTGCGCCGGGGACTGGCTCCCGCGCAGCCTGGGCTGGGGCGGCCGCGGCGCCGCGGTGTGCGCCTACGTGCGCATGGTCTTCCTGGCGCTCTACGTGCTGTTCCTCGGCGACGAGGAGTTCGACGTGGTCGTGTGCGACCAGGTGAGGCGGCCCCGCGCGGCCCGCCGGGGAGGGCGGCCTGCGGGGAGTGCGGAGCTGAGCCCCCCCCCCCCCCCCCGGTGTGCGGCTCCGAGCCGCGGGGACTGACCTGCGGAGACGAGCACTGGGAGCGACGCTGGTTCTCGAACGTTACGGACGCGCTAAGGTTGCACGTGGTTGCGGGGCCCGCAGAAGCGATCCTGGTGCGGCCCAGCCGACTGCGTGTTGGCGCGGTTCCGAAGTGGACGGGGCTTGGGGCTCGCCGTAGGGAACGCAGGCATTCCAAGTCCATGCAGTCACTTTTTACTTCTCGGTGACCTGTGTGTCTTCGCCTCTTTGCATGATTTCCTTGGACTCTACCTCCGGGCCACATGCATCCATCGCACTGCCTCCAGGTGTTGCAGACAGGCCCCTCCGCTCCTCTGCAGCGTTGTGTTGAGAACAGGCGAGACTTGCCGTGCCCCTGTTCAAACTGTTCTCCCTTTTAGTCTTGGAAGAAGTCGGTAGTAATGCCCGCCTGAACCTGCGCTCTAGCTATTTCGGGTGCTGTGCTTTCCCCGCCCCCCTCCCCCGAAAAAAGCAGATTTATTTTTAAAAGTAACCTTTACTCAGAACAAAAATTCAAATAGTGTAAGAGAGTGTAACGTGAAAGCCCCGTCCCAGTTCCACTCCCTAAAGGTAGCCGCTGTTAGCAGTTTCTCCTGTGAACCTCCGGAAACTGCCGGTGGCCGCGCCCCGCATTCGCCTCTGTTCTCAGGTGGATCTTCTTTGCAGTAATGAGGATGACACACCTACCGTTTGATAAATCGCCCCCCCCCTTTTTTTTTCCACCCAAAATTCCTGTTCCGGACATCTTTATCAATATTGGAGGTTCATTTCATGTTTCTCAATGGTTGCTGGAAAATCTGCTTTTGGTTAAAAGTACCATAATTTATACATTCACCTGTTAAAGAACACTCCTTGTGACCAGCGTGTTGCAAATAGATCAGTATTGTAATGGACATTCTTGTACCTTTTTTCTACTTCTGTCAGCGTGCCCTTTGAGTGAATTCCTGGAAATAAAGTTGCTGTCCAAGAGTTTATTTTAAATGTCAATAGGTATCGCCAAGTTTGCCTTTCTAAGAGGTTGTGTCATTTTGCCCTCCCACAGGGTATCCCGTTAATTCCATGCTCTTGTGCACAGTGGATGTTATCAACCATTTTAATCTTCGCAAATTGGAAGGGAAATAGGTTTAAGAACCCATTTCTTTTTTAACACATGGACATTTCCAAACATCCTGCATGTGTCACTAGTCATTAAGCATGAGGCAGCCGAGACTATAGTGAATAGAAAAAAAAAAAAAAAATAAACAGTTTGGAAGTAGGAGACCTGGGTTTAGTTCCAAATCTGCTACTTTATGACTGAGAAACTTCCTATAAACTTGGCATAAATCTTTCTATAAATCTTAAGGTGGTAAGTGAGCTAGAGATTAAGTAATTTGTAAAGATTACCCAACAAAGAAAGTCTCTAGTAATGGCTGGCACATGGTTCGTGTTTAGTAACGAATATGATTAACATTTATTGAGTAATGCTATGTGCTAATTTCTTAAGCATTTTACATGTACCTGTGCATTTAGTAATCACAAAACAATACAGGGGTTTTTTGAACTACAGTTGTCACCATGTTATAAAAGAGAAAACTGAGGCATACGGAAGGGTAGATTACTTGCTCATGGTCAAGCAGTCTTGATTCCAGAGCCTGAGTTCCACTTCCTTTTTGGAGAAACATAGTAGAGCTACTCTGTCCCTGTATGGTAGCCAGTAAGCACCTGCAGCTATTAAACACTTGAAATGTGGCTAGTCTGAACTGAGATACAGTGTAAGTATACACATCTGATTTTATTTATTTTTTTATTTTTTTTTATTTTTTTGTTTTTACACATCTGATTTTAGAGATTTAATGTGGAAACATAGAATGCAAAGTGACTCGTTAACTTTTTTGATAATTACATTTTGAAATGATAATACAATTTTTTAAATATTTTATTTATTTATTCATGAAAGACACCCAGAGAGGCAGAGACTTAGGCAGAGGGAGAAGCAGGCTCCATGCAGGGAGCCCAACATGGGACTCGATCCCTGGACTCCAGGATCACGCCCTGAGCCAAAGGCAGACACTCAACCACTGAGCCGCCCAGATGTCCCTGAAATGATAATATTTTAGATAAATATTTTTTAAAACTTCACCCTTAAAAATTTTTGTAATATGGTTACTAGATTTTTATTTCCATCGGACAGTGCTGTTCTAGGGGAAACCATTGGACTTGCAGCTTTAAATATTTAGCACACAGCCAGCAGATGTCTGCAAGCCCTCTCTACACCAGGCCTGGTACTGGGTGAGTCTAGGGGAGCACAAAGCAGAATCAGGCATTGCCCACAATGAGCCCACAGACTAGCAGGCGGGGGGGGGGGGGGGGTCATACATTTGACTTGGTTGAAGTCAAGTTGACCAGTCTGTATCTGCTGTTGACTTTTGCTTTGGCCAGGTGTCTGCCTGCATCCCAGTGCTCAAGCTGGCCAGACGGCGCAAGAAGATCCTGTTTTATTGTCACTTCCCAGATCTGCTGCTCACCAGGAGAGATTCTTTTCTGAAACGCCTATACAGGGCCCCGATTGACTGGATAGAGGAATACACCACAGGCATGGCCGACTGCATCTTGGTCAACAGCCAGTTTACCGCTGCCATTTTTAAGGAAACATTCAAGTCCCTGTCTCACATAGAACCCGATGTCCTCTACCCATCTCTCAATGTCACCAGCTTTGACTCCACTGCTCCCGAAAAGCTCGATGACCTCGTCCCCGAGGGGAAGAAGTTCCTGTTCCTCTCCATCAACAGATACGAAAGGAAGAAAAATCTGACTTTGGCACTGGAAGCCCTAGTAAAACTGCGTGGGAGATTGACATCCCAAGATTGGGACAAGGTCCATCTAATCATGGCAGGTGGCTATGATGAAAGAGTCTTGGAGAATGTGGACCACTATCAGGAATTGAAGAAAATGGTCCAACAGTCTGACCTTGCACAGTGTGTGACCTTCCTGCGGTCTTTCTCAGACAAACAGAAAATCTCACTCCTCCACGGCTGCACCTGTGTGCTTTACACACCAAGCCATGAACACTTTGGCATCGTCCCTTTGGAAGCAATGTACATGCAGTGCCCGGTCATCGCTGTTAATTCGGGTGGGCCCTTGGAGTCCATCACCCATGGTGTCACAGGGTTTCTGTGCGAGCCTGACCCAGTGCACTTTTCAGAAGCAATGGAAAAGTTCATCCATGAACCTTCTTTAAAAGCCACAATGGGACTGGCTGGGAGAGCCAGGGTGAAAGCAAAGTTTTCCTCGGAAGCCTTTACAGAACAGCTCTACCAGTATGTCACCAAACTGCTGGTATGATCAGACTTTTTTTTAAAGGAATTTGTGCTGTATTCATTAGTATCATTTTTTGTAGATTGTAGACTCATTTCTGAAACCTAAAAAGAAACCTAGAGTCCATTGTGGAAGCAATTAAAAGAAAAATACACTCTAATCTTGAATCTGAGCCACTTTCCTATGCACCACACCTTCCCATCTACTTTTTCAAAAAAACAAAATCCTGTTTATGCTTTAATTATTTCATGTCTTACCAGTGTTAATATATAAAAATGATGCAATTCCATATTCACCAGAATCTTTCAATTCTGTTTTCTCTAGGCTATTGTTGCTTTGCCTACAAATTTGAGTCCTCGTGTGCCTTACTTGGTTTTGATAGTTTTAAGTGTATTATCATTAAAGTTGATTAATTTGGGTTCATAGCATAATGAGAACAGGGTCACTGTAGTTCGTAAAATCAATGCACCTAAGCATTCACTATCCTCTGTTAGGAAATTTTTATTAGTCATACCTTTGCCTGGATCCATAGAAGAATGTTCTATACTTCTTCACAAAGATGATTTATTATATTTTTGCACAATGAGATGTGACAATAAAAGATGTTTATCTTAGGAAAAGAAAAGGGTCTCTGGGTTCTGTTTGGTATTGTTAGGAGTATGGACAGCCAAGCCTGAAGCCTGAAACAAGAGTAAACCAGGTTTTGAAGTAATGGGACATTGTCACTCGTGGGTATGCGTCTTATGTATGGTTGGTTTCTTCATGTCATCTGAGTCCACCTGAGTCGTTGGCTTTGTTCATATTGTTATTTTGTTAAGCTCCTCCTACATGTTAGACACAGTTACTGTGTGTCCTTCAAGTCCTGCTTTCCATGCCATGGCTGTGAAGCTTTCCTTGACCCTCCTCCCACCTTCCTCTCCCCAGCCTGCGTGTGATCCTCTTCCATGTACCCTAGCCCTTTTGTGGCACTGAGCAGTTTTAGAGTTCCCTACTTACTTGTTGGCCTAAGTAAAATAAACATAAAGCACTTTTCAATGTATCTTTAAAGCTAAATTCTTTTTTTTTACCACTTTTTTAAAAATTCCAGCCCAACTTGGGGCTTAAACTCACAATCCCAAGAGCAAGAATCCCATGCTCTACCAACTAATCCAGCCAGTGCCCCAAAAGCTAAATCCTTTTTTTGAAAAAGAGCAATCAGTGATCACTAGCCAAAGGCTCCACATTCATCACTTCTGAGAGTACAGACCTGAGAGCCTAACAGCCTTAGGCAAATTACTTAATTTCTGTGCCTCAGCTGCTTCATCTGCTGTAATATTTTACATTCTTCATGGAGTAGTTGTGACATCACAAAAATACATGTAAAGTACTTAAAAACAGTACTTGGCACATGGTATGGGCTTATAGAGATACTAGCTATTTTATAATTTGGGGAGACTGAAAACCTGCAGAATTTCCACGTGGGTTCATGCTGCACTTGTGTATTGTTCTTTGGGTTTTTTTACAGAATGAAATTTCAGGTTGTAATTTATCACATTAATCTGTATCGCAGTATTTTCATGAAATGAAACATCTGTACCGGAAAGGAGTTCTCTAAAGCAATCAAATATATTACGTCTTTTATAGAAGAGTTGAGTTTGCTTTTCTTTGTCATGGTGAAAGTTTGTGAAAGTAGGTCATCCCCATTTTGTGGGGTTTGTGTTTTGTGGCTTGATGGGTGTATTGCCCCAGGGAACTGCAGCCTGTGCAGAAAGGCCTGGTGGCTCTGACCCTGTCTTTAAGACAGACTGAGATCCGTAACCTGTAACCGGTGCCTGACCATTCAGAGCATTAAAACTTGCCTATTTGACCTTTTATGCAGATCCAAAATGGACTCCAGGGGTTCATGGGCCTTAAGTTTAGCTTCCCTTCATGGTCTTAAGGCCCAGCAGGTGACACTAAGACCACAGAACTAGTGGGGGGAGGGGGCCAGGGGGGTGCGGGATGCAGAACCCTGCGAGCCCTGAGCCTCCAGCCTCTGATGGATTAACTCCTGGCTCCGAGACCTAGGATGGAGTTTTTGCCTCTAGGGTCTGTTCACAGTTTCCTAAACAAAGCTGAAGTTAGGGAGAAGAGAAGCATAGCACCCCGAAGTAAGCTGTCCAGGACTCTCCCAGTAGTAATTCTAGCAATGACCGTGTGCTGGGCATGATACGACATACACAGCCAACAGCTCATTTATCCCAAGAGTTCCATGAGGAACTTCCCTTTATAGATGAGTGTGGCTAAGCACTGTGCCTGTGTCACACAGCCTGGAGGGATGGGCAGTCTCAAGGCCCTCCAGTTGCAAAGTCCAACCACTCTCCCCTCAAGTCTGCCTTCACCCCAACCAAACTGGTGTGGCATTTCTTCCGTGAAACCCTCTACGGTCCTGCCGGTGGGCCTATTGAGGTCTTCGGGGCTGGAAAGGTCTTGCGAGTCATTTGCCCCCTTCAGCTTCAGAGCAATCTTGTGAAAAGGGTGTGTTATCCCCCCATTGTACCCACAAGGAAGCTCAGGGAGATGAAAGGCTTGCTCAAGGGTTGAAAAGTGAACCAACCAGGATTCAGCGGTAATTAGCCGAACCATCCCATCCGGAACTGCACACGCCAGCAGTTCTCAGCCCACTCCCCTTCAGTAACTATAAATATCACGAACTTGGGAGTTTGCAAAGCTCTTTCCAGGTTGTCTCATTTGCTCTTCACAGGATCATTCCAGGTAGCTGAGTCCACAGTAGAGAAGCTACGGCTTACAGCCGGGAAGCCCTGGAGCTGTAACTCCAACCTAGCCGTCTGATGCCAGGTCAGCAGTTGTGTCAGTTGTACAACAGAAGTCTCTTCAGTAAATGCTTCACCGCCTTCAGCCTGCCCCACTCCCAGCTCCTCTTGTGCGACCTCGCTCCACGTCTGCCAGCACAAGGAAAATGAGGCACCTGAAGGAACGCCGCCCAGCTCTCTGCTTGCTGCCACCAGTGCGCCTGTGCCAATATCACTAACTCTCCTGTGACCTCCATTCTTTGCATTTCCAACTCCCAGCATCAAATCCACCCAGAGCTGAATAGGACCCTTGAGGTCACCTGGCCTAATTTGCTCCTACACAGGTGGGAAAGCAGGCCCTCCAAGAGAAGTAGACCTGCTTGAGGTCAGAGAGGGTCACTGTAGGCCTCCTCAACTTCTTCATGAAGCCCCGCAGGTCCCCTGCACTAAACCCTCCTCTATGCCACTTCCTTAGAACTCCTTACTCCTTCACCCCTAACCTCAGCCCCTGCAGCTCCATCTCCAACAACCTGTGAGGAACCATCACCATCCAGACACGAGTGCCACATCTGCCCGCGGGGGGTGGGGAGCTTTCCAAATGACAAGCTCAGTTGTTCGAACCTGTGCTCTGATCAAACCTGTACTCCCTCCTCGGGAGGGAAGTGAGGGAGGGGTCTTAGCCTACTGACTCTTGAGCCCAGGAGCTGCTGGAGCCAGCACTCTGCCCTTGTCAAGAGGATCAGAGGATTGAGTAGGGTTCGAAATCAGGGTGAATTGTCCTTGTGGCCCAGAGATGTGAACATAGGCAAATGCTGAAATATCTTGTAGGTAGCACTATCACTAGCCAGCCACTGATGTCATTTCAGACAAATATAGAAGTCTCTCAGGGTGTGTGTGTGTGTGTGTGTGTGTGTGTGTGTGTGTGTGTGTGTTGGGGATCTTGGGGGGAGACACACAAGCATAACATAGATGTGATTTGCCTTTGTGACCTGCCACTCACTCAAGAAGTTGGCGAGCACAATTAGAACAAACTGCTAAAGGACTCCTGGGTGGTTTAGTAGGTTAAGCATCTGCTTTTAGCTCAGGTCATGATCCCGGATTCCTGGTATCGAGCCCCAATGTCAGACTCCCAGCTGTACATGGAGGCTGCTTAAGATTCTCTCTCTCCCTCTGCCCCTCCCTGCACCATGTGTGCATGAAGGCAGTGCATCACGGGGCTGGATTGCCCTTAAGGGTACGTTGGGAGTCTGCCTATGCCAGGGAAAGTCACACCATGGGGCAACGGATAGTCGGTTTAAACCACCCCAATGGGAGTATTTCCCTCTCATTTGAATGTTACCTAACTCAATATTGGGAGGTCCACCAATAGTCAAGACAGTGTGGTACCAATGTAAGGATAGATGAATAGATCACTCCAACAGAATTGAATTCTAAGATACATCTGCACATATGTGGTCAATTGATTTTTGCCAAAGGTGCTAAGGTAATTCAACTGGGAAAAGATAGTCTTTTCAAGAAATGGTGCTCAGACAATTGGATATCTGTATGGGGGGAAAAATGAGCCTCAACCTTTACCTCACATTATATACAAAAATACACTTGAGGGATCCCTGGGTGGCGCAGCGGTTTGGCTCCTGCCTTTGGCCCAGGGCGCGATCCTGGAGACCCGGGATCGAATCCCACGTCAGGCTCCCAGTGCATGGAGCCTGCTTCTCCCTCTGCCTGTGTCTCTGCCTCTCTCTCTCTCTCTCTCTCTGTGACTATCATAAATAAAAATTTTAAAAAAATTTAAAAAAAAATACACTTGATGGGGATTGTAGGCTTACAAGTAAAAGCTGGAGTGCAGAACTTAGAGAAGAAAACAGAAGAAAATCTCCATAACCTTGGGGAAGGCAAAGATTTCTTAGATAGGATACAAAGAGCACAAAGCCCAAAGGGAAAAATTGATAAGCTGAATTGCCTCAAAATTAAAAACAGCTGCTCTTCAAAAGACACTGTTTTTTTAAAAAAATGAAAAGACAAGCCACAGATTGGGAGAAAATATTCATAGTTAACATATCTGATAAAGACCTGCAGCCAGGATATGTAAAGAATTCTCAGAACTCAAGAGTAAGAGGACAAATAACCCACATTTTTAAATGAGAGCAGATTTGAAAGACCACAGAAAATATACACATATCCAACAAGCACATGATAAGATGCTCAACATCTTTGGTCACCAAGGAACTGCAAATTAAAACCACAGCACAGGCCCACTGCACACCCATACAATGAAAGGCTCTGAGTAAGAATGTTGACAAGGATATGGAACATCAAGGGTTCTCACCCATTGCTGGTGGGCAAACAAAAAAGTACAAACACTTTGGAAAGCAGTTGGACAGTTTCTTATAAGGTTAAACATGACACCTAGCATCCAAACGAGCAATTGCACTTGCCAGTATTTTGCTTAAAATAAGTGACATATCTGAACAAAGACTTTTATTCAAATATTCACAGCAGCTCTACTCATTAATAGTCAAAAGCTGAGGGGCACCTGGGCGGCTCAGTCAGTTAAGCCTCTGCCTTTGGCTCAGGTCATGATCCCCAAATTGTGGATTCAAGCCCCATGTCAAGCTCCCCACTGAGTGGGGAGTCTGTTTTGCCTTCTCCCTCTGCCGCCTCCCCACTGCTTGTGTTCTCTCTCTCCCTCTCTCTCTCTCTCATTCAAAATCCTTTAAAAAATAGTCAAAAGCTTAAAACAATCCAAGGGTCCATCAACAGGTGAATAATAAATAACCAAATGTGGTTCTATACAATGATACATTTCTAAAGCAAAAAAAAAAAGGATGAACTGATCAACACAATGACTTAGATGAATCCCAAAAGCCTGCTCAGTGAAAGAAGTCAGACACGAAAGAACTCCTACTGTATGATTCCGTTAATATGAGACTTCAGAGAAAAAAAATCCAATCTACAGTGACAGAGAGCAAGTCACTGCTTGCAGCCCAGGGTGAGGCAGGGACCCACTAGGTAAGGGCACAAAGGAACTTTGGGGTGATGGAAGTGTTCTATGTATTATGATGCTGGTTACAAGGATGGATGAATTTGTCAGAACCAATAAAATACGTGCTTACATGGAATGTATATTACTGTATGTAAATCATACCCCATAAAGTTTTTTTTTAAAGCAAGTGTGCTGTAGTTTCATCTGTATAGGAAATGAAAGATGTTATAAATGAAGAAATGCAAGAGTATATGTGCATATGTAATTATAAAAGTTTCTAATTAAACATATACCAAAGTGGTAGCTTTGGTCATCCCCAGGTGAGTGTAACTATCAAAATGCATTAGATTTTTCTTCTGTTTGCTTTTATTTTTTGAAATTCCATAAGCTGACTTTCTCATAAGAAAATAAAAGAAAATCAAACATAAAAGTATAAAATACTCTTAATGGTCAGTTATGTTTTCACAACGTGTTTTTAGATATTTGTGGCCCTCTTGGAGATGTATAGTTTGTTCTAACTGGTCCCTTATTATTACATGTTAAGATTGCTCTACCTTTTGGCTAGTAGGAGTAGCCTAGAGGAAAACGGACTTGAGTTTCTAAAAGCAAATATTTAAACTTTTAAAAAGGAAATTATAAAAGCAAAGGCATCCCAAAAATGGACATATGAAAAGGTTGCCAAACTGCCTAGCAGTACCCCAAAAGAAAAAAAAATAACATAATTCTCAAAAAAAATTACTAACTGGTGATATTTCTTTTCAAACCAAATCACCATGTTGGCCGCCTTACTTTCAGCCAAATGTTATTCCTCTGTTGTGTTGTGGAACCTGAAAACCTAACTTAACACTTCAACTCAATAGAGCAATACAAT